CTGGTTGAATGTTCATGGGGAATCAGGGGCGGAGGGGAGGAGTGTGCTGTCGCAGAATGGGGTGAGCAGTTGGGGCTCATAACAATGTATGTTAAAAAAAAAATGCTGTATGGGAGACTAACTTGAAATGTAAACTTCATTTAATTACATCAATAAAAAAAAAATTTTAAGCTTATCTAAAACTTATTATTTTAGAATTTCATAACATTGTATTCTAAAATAAAATTTATAATATGTTTTATATTATATTTAAGGATGGATCATTGGCTTTAAAGAGTGATTAGATAGAAATTTCACTTTCTCAGCCCTCAGCTGCCCCATCTAAAGTCTAAAGATGCAGAAAAAGATGAAACTGACGTTATTAGTTCCCCAACTCATGGAAGAAAAAAATCTACTAAAAGCACTATAAGCGTGAGACGAAAGATATCTTTTCCTTGGCATTATAAATGTTACCAATTTATCGTTTTAGTGACTGTTGAGTTAGGGCATCATTTTGAGAGTACTCATTCCGAGCTGAAAGAAAAAGAAATGGAATATTTTAAATGTAGATATGATGAGCTTGTTAAAGGCCAAAAAATTGATCATTACAGCTTTCCAAGCCAGCAATGAAAAAGCTACTGAAGTACCATACCGGGCAGGTTAGTGCACTGAATTGCCCGGGGAAAGGCTCACGAGCCTTGTACAGCTGACACCGCTGAAGGCCTGCTGCATGGAAAGTTAACAAAAGAAATCACAGCAGTGCCGCTGGAATGAGACAGTCGCTTGTTAAACGAAAGGCTGAGCTGCAGACCTGATGGCTGAGTTAATATCTTGTCTGCAGAATTGTACTCTTGCCTTACCAGTTGCTGTTGAGTCAACTCTGATTCATGGCGACTTCGTGTGTGTCAGAGTAGAACTATGCTCTATAGGGTTCTCGATGGCTGATGTTTTTTGGAAATAGCCAGGCCTTTCTTCCGAAGAGACTCTGGGTTGATTCGAACCTCCAACCTTCACTTAGCAGCTGAGCACATTAACTGTTTGCATCACCCAGGGACTTCTCTCTTGCCTTAGAAATGGACATATCAATACATGTGGATGGACTTGTGCTGTTGGGCTTGTATTCATCCAGTATCAGCACCAACTAATCATCAAAGATCTTTTAGGTGAATGCTTGGAAACAAGACAAGCGATGCAGAAACAGTCAAAGTGCTGAATAACCTCATTCACTGTCATGGTCGATCCTGGAACAACTGTGGTGACGTTTGCACTGGTGGTGTAAAAGCAATGGTGGGTCCAAGCACCAGCATCTTGCCACAACTCAAAGCAGTGGCACCCAACTCCAGTCACTGTATTCTTCACTGCCATGCACTGCAGTAATTACCAGGATGACTTAAGAATATCCTTGATAAAGCAGTAAAAATAATCATCTTTATCAAATTTTTGCCCTGGAGTAAGATATTTTTAATATTCTGCATGACAAAATTGGAAATATGCATAAAGCACATCTGCTGTGTGTTGAAATACAGGTATTAGCTTCAGGAAAAGCATTCACGCGACTGAATTGCAAGCTGAACTAGCTGCTTTTCCATGGAGCACCATTTTTGTATGTGGCAGACACATCCTTGAAAACGAGCCTGTCTCACTTCAAGGAAAAACAACTGCAGTATATGTTCCCACTAATAAAATTCCAGCTTCCAAAAGGTAATTTGAATTTTGGAAAACTTATGTTAACCTCCATGAGCTTGTCCACTTCCTGATACTTCTTTTCTGATGAGATTGGTGGTAATATTCCAAAACCAAACCCGTTGCCTCTGAGTCGATTCTGACTCACGGCAACCCTGTGTGTCAGGGTAGAACTGTGCTCCACAGAATTTTCAATGTCTGTGATCTTTCAGAAGTAGATCATTAGGCTTTTCTTCCGAGGCACCTCTGGGTGGATTCAAACCACCAACCTTTGGTTTGTAGCTGAGTGCTTAACCATTTACACCTCCCAGGGACTCCTGTGGTAATATTAACAATGTGATTTTTTTTTTTGAAATATAATTCACATACCATAAAATTCATCCTTTTATAATTCAGTGGTTTTAGTATATTCACAAAGTTCTCAATAATCGCCACTATCTAGCTTCAGAACGTTTTCATAGCCCAAAAAAAACATGGTACTCATTAGCAATCACTCGCTGTTACTCCTCCCCAGAGCCTCAGGCAACCAGTAATCTACTTTCTGTCTGTATGGGTGTGTCTACCCTGCACATCTCATATAAATGGAATCATACAGTAACATGGAATTTTTAAAATATTGTATGAAATATGAAAACTTTTGGAAGATCTACATAACTCAGGGGACCAATATTTTCCAAATGACCGATGCATTATGTTACAAAATCATTAACGAGCAAAAGATCCATTCAAAGTGCAAGATAGATGATGGAGTTTAATATAACGTGGTATAAAAAGTTCATTGATAGGGTTTCACATTCCACACTGCAGCTAACCTTTAAGTAATACCATTTGTTGAGTTTGGTGTGGTGTATTAAAAAAAAAAATCCACAATTATCTGAAAAGACTATTAAAATACCCCTCCCCTTTCCAGCTACATTTCTCTGTGAGGCTGGACTTTCTTTACATGTGTCAATCAAAGCTACATGTCACAGCAGACTGAATGCAGAAGCAAATATGAGAAGCCAGCTGTCTTCTATTAAAGCCAGACTTTGAAGAGATTTGCAAAAATGTAAAACAATGCTATTCTTACTGTTTTTTTTTTTTGGGGGGGGGAGGAAGTAGTTACTTTTAATTAAAAAACGTTAATATATGAACATAGTAGATTTATTATTATTATTTTAAAATGAATTCATATATAAGTATTTTTGAAATTTTCAGTTTTGATTCCTAGTACGGTAAATATCAATAAATGGAGCCTACAAAAACAAAAGATCTTTGGGGTCCTCACTGATTTTTAATAGTGTAAAGGGGATCTGAGTGCAAAGAGTCTGAGAACTTCAAGTCGAGTACTTGTCGTCTGTAACTTTCATTTGACAAGTAGTCACACATTTCCTAGGGATAGTTCTTCATTTGTTCTGTTGCCCTTCTCTGTATCTTTTCTGTTATCGATGACATTTTCATTTTAAGCAGGTTATGAGTCAAATTTCCCTTAGCTTTGCTGTCACAGCATCACTTTTAAAACCGGTTGCTGTCAAGTTGGCTCCTACTCTTGGTGACCCCATGTGTGTCAGAGTAGACCTGTGGTCCATAGGGTTTTCAATGGCTGGTTTTTCAGAAGTAGATTGCCAGGCCTTTCTTCCGCGTTACCTCTGGGTGGACTCAAACCACCAATCTTTCAGATAGCAGCCCAGTGTGTTCGTTAACCGTTTGCTCCCAAGGACTCCTTTGTCACTTCTAGCACACTGCAATAGCTTACTTGTGCCTGCAGGTTACTTGAGGGCAGGGACTTGGCATCAGCTTGTCTTGGTCTTACAGAAGCCCAGTTTACATTTGTTGATTGGAAAAGGACCCTGTAAGCTGACAGACTTTGTAGAATAGAATTATTATACACTCTGAGTTCTCCATTGATAGTAATTGGCCAGAATGTTGTAATACAAAGGAAATCTGCTATGAGAGAGAGTCAGGGCAGGTATTTGATTGGAATGGTTTGCTCTTAAATATGTTGAGAAGGGGTCTCTAATTCTAGTGTGCATAGGAATCAACAGATTAGCTGATCTAAAAGGCAGACTATGGGCCTCATTCCCCAAGCTTCCACTTCATTTAGTTATAAGTAGTCCTGGAAATCTGCATTTGAAATTTCTGATGGTTAAGATTGTGTATCAACTTGGCTAGGCCATGATTCTCCATGTTTTAATGTAATCACTCCCGTGATTGAATATACTGTGAGTAGCCAATCAGATGAAAGGGAGTCTCCTTGGGGGTGTGGCCCGCATCTGTATATAAGCAGACTTTCTGTTTTTTTCCTCTCTCTGGATCCTGCGGCTGCTTCCTGTCGTCTCATCTCCTGTTCTTGGGACTTGAGCTGTCAGCTTATCTGCCGAACCTGGGATTCGTCGATCTGCATAGCCTGTGAGTGGGCGCCCTGCTCTCCGACCTTCCCATCTTGGGCTTGCCAGCTTCTGCAGCTGTGTGACTTGGGAGAGGCCTCTACCCTGATCCGCGGACTTGGGACTTTCTAGCCTCTACAATCACGTGAGCTGTTTCCTTGATATAATCTCTCTCTATGTATATATTTATACACTTTACTGGTTTTGCTTCTCTAGAGAACCCAGCTGAAGACAAAATCCTTTTTATTCAATTTTTAAATTAGAAAAGTAATATGTGCATAAGGAAAAAAAGTCAGATCCACCCTGACCCTCAGATTTTTTTCCCCCAGAGATTAACATTGCTATGTCTTTTTGGGTTTCTTTCTAGAAGTGGTCTATGTATAAACAAGCCAATATATGTTTGAATAACCTTTTCTATTTTTTAAGAATACATAATTGGGGGCATATTAAACACGTTGTTCTGTCTTGCTTGTCTCTTTTAGCAATATATCTTAAAGACTGTTTCTTAACCTTACATACAGATCTGTTTGTTTTTTTTTTAATAGTTGCATACTAAATTCTATTGAACGGTTGGTTATATCTTTATTTAACAATCCCCCATTTATAGGCATTTAAATTGTTTCCAGTCTTTAATGTAACAAACAATAATGCAAAAAAAATCCTCGTTCATTTGTCTTTGTACATGTATAGGACAAAAAGTGTAATTGCTGGATTAAAAGGTGTATGCAGTTGAAATTTAATAGCTGGAGTCTGCACTTTTATTTAACAAGGAGCCCTGGTAGCATAGTGGTGAAGCGCTTGGCTGCTAACCAAAAGGTTGACGGTTTGAACCCACCAGTGGCTCTGTGGAAGAAAGACATGGAGATCAGCTTCTGTAAAGATTTACAGCCTTGGAAACTTTATGGGGCAGTTCTGCTCCGTCCTATAGATCACTGCGAATCGCAATTGGGTTTGGTTTTTGGTTTTGCGCTTTTAACAATCACCCAGGGGAAAAAAAACAGACAGATAAACATTAGCTACATTTTAGGAGTGTTCCCCTTAAGGCCAAGAAAATAAATATTTTATAAAAAAAAATCACAGAGCATCTTTAAAGAGAACAAAATTTATTTAAACCCATTGCTGTCAAGTTGATTCCTACTTATAAATTTATTCAGGTGTATGTAAATAAAAACCACTTGGATATATGAGGGGGCAACTATAAAGCACATATGATATAAATATACAATTAACCCTTTATAATATCGCCAAAGAACTGTAAATAATAACATTTTAAACAGGAAATATTAACATATTTGCTGTAACTCTTTATAGCATTCTTCATCGTCTGTTGTCAACACGAATACTGTAAGCGACGTTCAGTTCTATTTTTGTAAAATGGGAACTTTGACTGATTTAGTAGAAATCCCCATTTCCATATAAACACAGTAAGTCAACAAACAACTGCACAAATTGAACACGAACAAGTCTAACTTGGATGTAAAGCCAGGCCATTGGATTAAGAAGTTCATACTTTGGACGTACAACCAGCTGTGCTAGCATCAGAATGCGCTGGCTACAGCACCATTCAAAATAGTGAACACCATCCATCTCTTATTGATTTCGTGTTGTCTGAAAATGGAAGTAATGAAGTCATGTCGTCGGTATCAAAACACACGACAATCTAATCATTCTAATTCTATAGTGAATATATATATTTACATTTATATGTATAGCATTGCCTCAGCGTTTTAGATTACCTTTATGAAAATAGAAAGCTGGATTATTTAACAGCAGCCAAATGGAGTATAGCATGCACTGTGTTATCTAGAACAATTTACAGGCAATTCTCGAGTCATTGGAGGTATATCAAGTGTATATATATTAGCCATGCCTTTGTTTCGCCCTTCCATGAGCTGCCTTTTATTATTGTTATTTTTTTGGTGGTCCTTTAATTACACAATCCCTTCCACAAGACAGTGGAGCGGGAAATAATGGAGATGAGACAGAAAGGCTACTTGTCCATTGAATCACTTGTTAACAGCTCTGAAGTGCTTGGTGGAGTCAAAGACGAAACTGCTTGCTAAAACTCAGCTTGGGGTAACATTCTGTGACCCCAATTTCTAATGGCGTTCCTGCCTCTAATTACCAAGGATAACTGAGAATGGGCTGTATTCACTTCAGATAAATTTGACCCAAGAAACTGGCCATGATATTCAAGGATGTTTTTGTGATGGGAAAATTGCAAGTAGAAATTTAGACAGTTCTAGAATTCGTGTAAACAAGTAAAAACTCATTGCTGTCGAGTCAATTTCGACTCACAGAGACCCTATAGGACAGATTAGAACTGCCCCACAGGGTTTCCAAGGAGTGGCTGGTGGATTCCAACTGCTGACCTTTTGGTTAGCAGCCGAGCTCTTAACCACCGCGCCACCGGGGCTCGGTAAACCAGTAAGGCAACCAGAAATTTCAGGATGCCCCTATGAAGAACATTCTGCAACCTGAAACATGTTTGGCTTAGAAAAATAGACATCTCAGATAAAGGAAGCGCATTCGTTGATGTCACGGATCACAGTTATCTTCTGTAGAAACTCAGTCAAGAGAACTGGTTTTAAAAAGTGGGTGCAGCTCAGGCCAATGAACTCTGTTTAACAACAAGAGGCGTGGAGGAGGGCTATTGTTACCACTACTTCAGAGCAGACATCTATTCCAAGGGAATTCTGCCGCTTAGCGTCACCACATGATGGTCTCGCAATACAGTTTGGATTGGTGACATGCTTTACAAATGACTTAGCCACCAACTTGATATGCTAACCAGTAATTAGTTCTCTATTTTACTTATTGGGCAGGAGAAATTCAGAACAAAAAAAAAGTTTAGAGGCCCTGAAATCATGCTTATATTCTAAGACAGGGACCAATGATATGAGTAAAAGTACTTGGCTCATAGCCCTCGATTCAGTGGTTGTGTGCACAAATATGGCTTTCATTAAGGAACTCATTAGTCTTATTTATTTATTAAGGTTGTGTCTCAAGATTCAGTCTCTAACAGGATAATACTGAATTAGGATTAATGGCCAATGTCTTTTCGTAGGGGAAGGATTCATAAATGGTGTTCCCTCGCTGCAGAATTCTTCCATAAAAAATATAAATGGTGGTTCTCTAATTACACTAAATAATTTTACCTTTGAAATTAGAGCCTGCCTTTGTATTACACTGGTGGATCAATAGCTCCCTGTAGCAATTAACTTCTGAAATCTAGTCATATTCTTGTGCTTAAAACCATCTATCTGCATGTTTTCCAGAAGCATACAGATACTTATTTCCACCTTACAAAGAAGTAGTTGGGTTGAAAAGCTTTTACTTCCTGTCTTTTGTTTTAAAAGCCGTATCAAAAACCCTAGTCCCAGTAGGTGGCAAGAGATAATAGTTTTTATAAGGGCATTTGCACAAATTATTTAGTGGGCTGTCTTAGAAGAACACTGTTGTCCCTAGATGTATGTAGTCTTTAAACAATACCTTCCAGCCTTGCTTCTCCTCAAACAGAAAGGCAGTCCTGCTTTCAGAACAGAGCGGTGGTGATGTGATTGACAAACGACAGTGCCAGGAACTGTATAAAGTCCTGTCCCGTGCTATGCCATAGGCTTCTCACCCGGCCACGTGAGGTAGGCATTAGTATCACAAAGAACTCTTACTTGAAACGTTACATAGTACTAAACACGTGTACCATCCACGTATTTTTTTCTGGATTGTGCTATAATCCGAATACACAGTTGAATGAGTAAGAAGACTATTCCTACCATATAAAGTAAACCACACATATAGAAGGAAAAATCGTATTTTTGTGTGATGTCGTAGATCCACCCTACAAAACAAAAAAGAGGGTATTCAGTGAAAGGTACCTGGGAAAAGTCAAAAACACAAAGCAGGCGTTTGTTGACACAGCTGATGTTTCTATGATTATTTATATGCCATTAAGAGAAAAAAAGCCAAGGCTCTTACTGCCCAGTTGATTCTGACTCACGGTGACCCCCATGTGTGTCAGAGTAGAAATGTGCTCCAGAGGGTTCTCAAAGGCTGATTTTTCAGAACCTTTCTTCTAAGCCACAGATAAGAATTTTATTTATGGCAAAAAGTGAATTTTGCATTAATCAGTGAAGATACAGAGAAAAAATAAACAATTTAATGACCAACCACATTATTTTATGGCCACTTTTCAAAAACATCTTTTTTTAAAATATCTCACTGGCAAATGAATCCGTCGGTGCAATTTAGTCTTCTTCTGCCAACAGCCACACAAAAACCACCATGAAAAGTGTAAACCAGCACATCGGACTTCCAGTAGCTACTTGTATCTCTTTGTTTATTGCAGCTCCTGCATCATAAATGAGCCTGGATTATCTACACACAGGGACCAGTCAAGCTTTTCATAATGAAAAAAGAACACTTAATAGCATTAGAAAGGTATAATCTTTTTTTTTTTTTTAACCACTTAAAGGCTATGAACTTTAGATATGCTTTAAAAGTTGACCAAGTTTTTGAATTTGCTGTTTGTTATGAACATAGAAAGAACAACACAGGAAATTCTTTAGCTGTGGCTTCATAAAATGCTCTATCGTCTTAATGTACAATTTGAGACTAGAGGGACAAACAAGAACAAATTTACCATCCAAAAATAGTGATTCAGCTTCAGAATTGAGTCAGACAGGCACGCTGACATTGACATACGAACAAAACACACCCAACCTCTGCTCAGTGTCCCCATTTGTCACTGTGAATGAGGACAAAGGGAATAATAATTCACCTGCAGATAGTGGAGAATGGCAAGTGTTTATAAGCAGAGTATTTGACAGGATAACCTATAATCTACAAATAAAAAAAAAATACAAATGAGATTTTTCATAGTCTACCGAAGCATTCTGAGAGCAGACCTTGTCACTTGAATAGTTGTATCCTCGCTCAGCACATGGTCAGGTGACTGAGCGTAGAAATGGTGGCATCTAGCAACAAACAAGGAGCCTGACAGCGCAACGGTTAGGCACTTGGCTGCGAACCCAAGGGTTGGTAGTTCGAATCCACCCAGTGCCTTCACCAGAGAAAGGCCTCGCAATCTGCTCTCATAAAGATTACAACGTAGAAAACCCTATGGGGCAGTTCTACTCTGTCACATGGGCTGACGATGAGTCAGAATCAACTCGATGGGACCCAACAAGAAACAACAAGTAAGAGACATGGACAGCTAAAACAATTCACACTATTAGTGCTGCCGAACACTAACCTCACACACAGGGTGTTAAGGATTGAATTGTGTCCACAAAAAAAATATGTGGTAAATCCTAACCCTTATACCTGTGGAAAGGAGACCTGGTGGCACAATGGTGAAGTGCCTGGCTGCTAACCGAAAGGTCAGCGGTTCGAACCCACCAGCTGCTCCTTGGGAGAAAGATGTGGCAGTCTGCTTCCATAAAGATTACAGTTTAGGAAACCCTATGGGGCAGTTCTACTCTGTCCTATACGGTCACTGTGAGTGGGAATCGACTCGATAGCAATGGATTTGGTTGGGTTTTATACCTGTAATGGGGCAGATTATCCATTAGGCATCATCTGTAGTGAACAGTTTCACGTCTTTTCACTGCCTCAAAGATTCGGCTTCTAGGTATGGCTGTCTCTCTCCCAACCCCACAGCACCTTCCTACAGAATCCAAGCCTGTTTTCAAATTTACAATCCTGGCAGGGACGGATGACCCAGTAAGTAAGGTAAGCACGGGCTTACTTGTGCTTACTGACCAATCTAGTGAACAATTTCGCCTGTTTGTCACCACATCTTTGAAACCCATGTGAAACTGGTCACTACAGATTAGTAAGTAAGCACAAGTAAGCCCGTGCTTACCTTGTTTATTGGGTAATCTGCCCCTGCCTGTGGATGGAATCCCGTTTGGGAATAGGGTTTTCTTTGTTATGTGAATGAGGACACACCAGTGTAGGGTGTGTTTTACACCAATCACTTCTGAGATATAAAAAGAGGAGATGAGGGACAGAAGCTGGCACGAACAGGGGAAAGATAGATGCCACGTGGAGATCTCCAAGAAGAACGCTAGAGAAGCTGGGCTAAGGATTTTCCCCCAGAGAAGACAGAAAGAGCCCTTCCCTAGGGCCGGTGCCATGAATTCGTACTTCTAGCCTCCTGCACTGTGAAAAAATAAATTTCTGTTCATTAAAGCCACCCACCTGTGGTATTCTGTTATAGCAGCACCAAGAAACTAAGGGATATGGCAAAATCTAAATAACTGGAAAATTCATTTGTATTCATTTAAGACTATTTATTGATTTGTTTTGTTTGAGGAGGCTGAGTATAAACCACAAAGATTCTATGACGTAGTCCCTGCCTGCCTCTCTGCCCTGCTGCCCAGAGTTTACCAGCAGCAGAAGCCATCCTGAATTTCTGAAAATTTCCAACTCATTTCTCTTGTCAACTCATCTGCATATTTCCCCCTTCTGAGAGGATAGCAATAAACAACACCACCCTCAGAACACTCTAGAATCCTCCTCCCCTTACTCATCCTTCCATTTTCTGCAGAGAAAAGATACATACCCTTTGCCATCAAGTCAATTCTGACTCATAGCAACCTTATAGGATGGGGTAGAACTGCTCCATCGTGTTTCCAAGGCTGTAATCTTTATGGGAGCAGACTGCCACATCTTTCCCCCTCCGAGCGGCTCGTGGGTTCGAACTGCTGACCTTTCGGTTAGCAGCCGAGTGCTCAACCACTGAGACACCAGGGCTCCTCAGAGAAAAGATATCTCATCTTTTCTCTGAAGAATATAAAAAAAGTCTGTTAAGAATGTGCTCAACTTGAACCAAGGAAGGAGAGTATATTACATAGTATTGCAATCTTAAATGTAATTAATTATATTTTAAAATCTTGCCTCTTTCCCCTAAAAGGATAAATGTTTGTGATAGCATCTCCACAGGCCCAATCTTCAAAAGTAACTCATATTGCAATTTCTAACAAAGCAAACTCAACTTCACCAAACCATTTAACCTAGTACAGCTTGTAGGACTAATCCTAAATTGCGTGTTAAATTAATCCCATGTGGTTCCTCCAGTCTGCTTTTACCAAATGCCTTGTAGTCGATTGTGACTCATGGCGACCCCATGTGTGTCAGAGTAGAACTGTGCTCAACAGGGATTTCAATGGCTGATTTTTCAGAAGTAGATTGCCAGACCTTCCTTCTGAGGCATCTCTGGGTGGACTCGAACCTCTAATCTTTTGGTTAGAAGCCGAGTGAGTTAACTGTTCGCATCACCCAGGAATTTCAATCTACCTTTGTTGTTAGTTGCCATCAAGCTGGTTCCAACTTACGGAGACCCCTTATGTTACAGAGTAGGGCTGCTCCATAGGGTTTTCTTGGCTGTAATCTTAATACAAGCAGATTGCCAGGCCTTTCTTCTGCAGTACTGCTGGGTGGGTTTGAAATGCCAACTTCCAGGTTAGCAGTCAGGCGCAAACTGTGCCACCTAGGGACCTAGTCTACTTTCGTTGTTGTTGTGATTAGGTGCCATCGAGTCAATTTTGACTCAATAGCACCCCCATGTGACAGAGAAGAACTGCCCCAGAGGGCTTCATGGGCAGTAATCTATGGTGGCTATGAGTCAGAATCAACTCGACGGCAATGGGTTTGGTTTGGTTTTTGGTTTAATCTTTACAGGAGCAGATCACCAGGTCTTTCTCCCATGGAGCTGCTGGGTGGGTTTGAACCTCCAACCTTTTGGTTAGCAGCTGAGTGCTTAACCGTTGTGCCACCAGGGCTTCTTTAGGGTGTATTTATTAATGACTCTGGATGTGGGCATCTCCCTTGGGTGGTTGCTGTAATATTTCTGCTATTTTGCACTCAACCCGAGTCACGTGTCAGATGCAAGGTAGGGCAGGAGAGACCGTGCTTCATTTCCTGCTGTGACTCCAGCTTATGTTGACACAGCTCTTTCAGAGGAAAGATGTTTCCATGAAGCTGCACGCCTTGCTCATCCTTCATCAGCTTTCTGTACCGGTCAGTTCCTTGCTTTGAAGCTTGGGATGCTTAGCAACCCTGACCCAGCCATCAATTCAAATCAACATCAGAGGAAAATCTGGTTCCCGATGAATTGCATTCTCTTTTCATTTGAGTCTCTCTAATGAGGAGTGACAGCTGTCTTTCTTATTAATCAAAGAAGCACGCCCAGCTCTTCTCGAGAAACACTGCACATTATTGTTAGGGTGTTAGGTTTTATGCAAATGAAGAAGAAATGTGTAGATTCTTGTTCAGCCAAATCTGGTGGCTGAGTTTTGCTATATTGTATACCAGAAGCTTCTAGAACAGTATCTACCATGATTATATCATATAAAAACCATGAACTGAGTGCCCAACAACATTATAAATGAACTGGGTCAAGAAGCTCACACTGTTAAATGCCATGGTTGAAATATCAGTTCACTGTCTTTGACTGTACATTTTTCTCCTAAATGGAAATGTGTGATTTTCTAACATGCTAATAAACTGTACCAGAGTTTTTAATGCCAGCAGAAACTTCTATGGAAATCGGAAAACACACTCATTTCTGAACCTATTAAAAAAGAAAAGGGTACTATGAGCAGTAATTTTCCTTGCAGCAAACCCAGCTAAGTAATAACTTCTAGCCACCTTGAATTTCTAACAATTTAGTGCGGTACAGTCATTCATAGTTTCTATATTGATAATACTGGTGGTGCAATGGTTAAGCACTTGACTGCTAACTGGAAGGTTAGCAGTTCAAACCCACCATCTACTCCTCAGGAGAAAGATAATGGCAGTCTGCTTCTGAAAAGATTACAGCCTTGGATGCCTTAT